GCACGTGCCTCCTTTGCAGGTCAGGTTTCCTGCCGGGGGCATGTGAGAAGCAACTAACTGATGTTTCTCTTGTATGTCAATGTTTCTCTCCCTCTCTCCATCCCTTCCCCTCTCTCTAATAATAAATAAATAAAATCTTTTAAAAAATAAAAAATAACCTAACTTTATACTTAAAGAAACTTGAAAAAGAACAAGAAACAAAACTCAAAGTGAGTAGAAGGAAGGAAATAATAAAAATCAGAGCAGAAATAAACAAAATGGAGTCTAACAAAATAATACAAAAGATACATGAATACAATATCTGATTCTTTGAAAAGGAACACAAGATTGACAAAACTTTAACCTGATTCATGTAGAAAGAGAACCTAAACTAGTAAAATCAGAAATGCAAGTGGAGAAATAACAACTAACACCAAAGAAATAGAAAGGATTGAAAGAAAACATTACAAACCACTATATGCCGACAAGTTGGACAATCTGGATGAAATGGATAAATTCCTAGAAACATACAATCTTCCAAAATTAAATCAGGAAGAATCAGAGAATGTGGATAGACAGAATACACCAATGAAATTGAAGCAGTAATTTAAAAAAAACAAAAAACCAACAACTCACAACAAACAAAAGCCCTGGTCTAGATGAGTTCACAAGAGAAATTTACCAAACATTAAGAGAAGAACTAACACCTATCCTTTTCAAACTATTCCAAAAATTCAGGAGGAGGGAAGACTGCTAAGGTCATTTTATGAGAGCAGCATTATCTTAATTCCAAAACTAGGTAAAGAACTTACAATGATAGAAAATTATAGGTTAATATCTCTGATGAACATAGATGCCAAAATCCTCAACAAATTATTAGCAAACTGAATCCAGCAATCACTAAAAACATCATACACAAAGATTAAGTGGGATTTATTCTGAGTATGCAAAGTTGGTACAACATCTGCAAACAGTAAACATGATACACCACACAAAAAAAATGAAAAGATAAAAACCAATCATATCAATAGAAGCAGAAAAGGCATTTGATAAAATCCAGCACCCATTTATAATAAGAACTCTCAGCAAAGTGGGATTACAGGTATCAAACCTCATTGTAATAAAGGTCATATATGACAAACCTACAATCCAACCCCTTGGCAAAAAAAAAAAAAAAGGCTACAAGCATTCCCCTTAAGATCAGGAACAAAACAGGATGTCTACTTTCACCAATCTTATTCAACATAGTACCATAAGCCATAGCCCAGCAATAAGACAAAAAGAAATAAAAGGCACCCAAATTGGAAAGGAAGAAGTAAAACTATCATTACTTGCAGATGACATGATACTATATGTAGAGAACCCTAAAGATTCCACTAAAAAACTACTAGTACTGATAAATGAATTCAGTAAAATGGCCAGATACTAAATAAATATCCAGAACTCAATTGCACTCTTTATGCCAATAATGAACTATCAGAAAGGGAATCTAAGAAAACAATCCCATTCACAGTTAACTTCAAAAAGAATTAAATACTTAGGAATAATTTAACCAAGAATGTAAAAGACTTAAAAAATTATAAGAGACTAAAGAAATAAAATACAAATAATTAGAAGCATACACATTGATCATGGATAGGAAGAATTAACATCATTGAAATCCCTGCCACCCCAAGCAATCTACAGATTCAATGCAATTCCAATCAAGATACCAATGGCATATTTCACAGAACTAAAACAAATATTCCAAGAATTTATATGAAAGCACAGAAGGCCTTACAAACCAAATGCAACCTTGAAAAAGATGAACAGAACTGGAGGAAGCATGCCGCCTAATATCAAACTATACTGCAAGGCCATAGTAATAAAAACAACATGGTACCAGCATAAAAACAGACACATAGATCATGAAACAGAACAGAGAGCCCAGGTATAAACCCATACCGTAACTGCACATATCGGTCCAATCATACAAACATTTATAGGAAAGATATGTGCAAAAAGTGATGCTAGACCACCTTCTTTCACCATACACAATAATAAACTCCAAATGGATTAAAGATTTTAATGTTAGACTGGAAACCAGGAAAATCCTAGAAGAAAACAGGCAGTAAAATCACAAACATTTCTTGTAGCAGTATTTTTTCTTATATATCTCCTCAGGTAAGGGAAATGAAAAATAATAATAAACCAATGGGACTACAACAAACAAAAAGTTTTTGCACAGCAAAAGAAAACAATTAAAATTAAACAACAATCCACTGAATGGGAGAACACATTCTTTGATACATCTCAGAAAGGCTTATATATCAAAAATTGATTAAAAAAACTTACAAACTCCAACACCAAAAAAATAATCCAATTTAAAAATGGGCAAAGGACCTGTATAGACACTTCTCCAAAGTGGACATACAGATGGCCAATAGATATATAAAAAGATGCTCAATGTCACTAATCATCAGATAAATGCAAATTAAAACCACAGTGAGAAATCACCTCAAGCCTGTCAGAATGGCTGTCATGATAAAATCAACAAACAACAAGTGTTTGTGAGGACATGGAAACAAGGGAACCTTTGTGTACTGTTGATAGGAATGCAGATTGGTGCTGCCACTGTGGAAGGCTGTATGGAGTTACCTTAAAAAATTAAAAATGGAAATGAGACAGCATAGGGATTCGGGCAGGAATGGAGACTACTTGGTGGCCAGGAAGCCAAGTTAAGATGAGGTAGTCAGAAAAAATCTGGGATGAGCTGACCACAAAGATGTCAGCACTCCTCCACTCCCTTCACAAAAATGCAGTCCTAACTGATTTTTATCTTCCTCTAACTGCCTGCTTAAACTACTGACATGCACGCACAGCTGATCAAGGTTTGACTTTCCTAGGGTGGTGGTAATGAGCAGTATGTCATCTTGTCCCCACAAGGCAGGCTTGGACATAATTACCAGGAACTCAGCTGGAAAAGGAAGTCACTCAATCCTAAAATGCAGAATTCCAAAAGCCTACCTTTTTCTAAAAGCCCATCTTTTTACACAAGCCTGCTGAGTCCCCAGCTTATAAAAGCAGCCGAGCAAAGCCAGCACCCTCCATCCTCAGTCAGTTCAGAGAACCTTACTTTCCTCTAGGCTGCCTCCCTTGTCCTCGAGCATACGCGTAATAAAATCTGCCTGGAAATTTCTCTGGGGTTTCCTTTCAATTTCTAGCTTGGGAAACCCAAGTACCCCAATGCAGGTAATGCCTCCACCCAACTTCACCTTCTGACTTTTGAACCACAAATTCTCACTCCTCCAAGATTTTCCACTTGGCGTCCCTTGGCTTCACAAACGTAGAGGAAAAACCATTCCATGATGTGACCACTGTCTGTCCTGCAACCAGGACCTGGATGAGATGGACATTGTTTTCTTCAAACCCCCCTTACAAGTGACCTGATGGTAATTCATGTTCATTCTGACATACATAAGCAATACCTCCCCGACCTCCTGCTATGTGCTGGTTCTTGGAACAGGTTGTTCTCTTCACCTGGTCAAGCATGTAAAGTAGTTCCCCTATCTGGTAGCATTCACATACTTGTACCCATGACTATCCACTCCTTTACCTTATAAAATTCTCTGCCACTTGCCAAGTAACGAGGGGCCATTTTGTACTGTAGTCATCCAAGACACACCCTGTATGTAAGCTTCCCTTAATAAACTCTATTGATTACCATACTAAGGTAGCCAGCCTCTTTCTACACTCTTTCCCTGCTCTCCACTTCCAGAGGGAGATTTTCAGTCTCAGGGTTTTTCACTGGGTCTGTGTGTATGCACGGTAAATACCAACTCATTCTTCGTGTGCAAATGTAACCTACTCCATGAATCCTTCCCCTACTTCCACATTTAGACCCTGTCCTCAGTCTTCAATCTTGGTAGCATCTCTGCTTGTATTTTGTACTGGATTCCACCATCTAATTGTATCTTAATTGTTTAAATGCCTTGTTTTTGTTCCATTGGAAAGTAAAGACTATGTCTTTTCTTTTTGTATGCCCAGTGCCAAGCACACAAATTCATCCACAGTAGAGAATGAAAAAGGGAAAGGAAAGAGGATGGTTATGAATGGCCTCATACTGTGAGAATTTAAGGATTTACTAAGTCTTTCTGTGGAAAATCTGAAAAAACCTTTTAGCAGAATTATTGGCAAGTTGAAAACATCAATAAGCATATGCAGAATACAAGTACAATTTTATAAGAGGAAAAAACCCTTATGCTTAAAAAAGATTGAAGGAAAGCACCAAAGTGTTAAAAGTGATGTTGTTAGAATGGTGAGAAGCCACAGGAAGTTTTTTCCCCTTTTCCTCTATTTTCAAAAATGTCTTAAATGCTTAACTTAATCTATATTATTTTCTGTCATGACTTTGGCCCCTAAAAATTAATGGCAACATTCTAAACTTCCAAATCTACCAAACCCAAGTGGTGAGAACCATGCTACTCCATACATGGAGGAAAATGCTGCAAATATAGCACTCTGCCACCCTAAGGATAAGAGATAGAAAAAATCATCTCTTGATCATCTCTTTTGAGATCCAAAAAGAAGAGAGACTACTTACATGGAACAATAGCATTCATAGATTACCTATTATGAGAGTAGATGCTAAGGGTTATACCAAATAAAAAAATACATGATCTCTATCTTCAAGGACTTTACAGTTTGATGGGAGAGGGGAAAAACTACCCAGATGATATGCAAACAGTATACAACTGAGTGATAAATTGTGTGGTATAGGCAATAATCTAACTGGCCTAATCAACATAAATACCATTAATATCTGATAAACATAGCACAATCAGAGACAGTAACTGTTCAATTTTTAGACTGGAAAGATGAGCTATTACAGCTAGGAGTTACAAATATCATGCTAAACCATAAAGATATTTTGCAAATTGTAAGGTTTTGGGGTTTGTTTTTGACATAAACTGGAGCAATAAAATGAAAATTTAGACCATAGATTTTCTAAATGGTTAGAATTATCTAAGAAAAAAATATACCTGAGATTTTTGTCTTTGGGCTTCTACTGCTGGGAAGAGCTCCATCCAGAGACTGAGCAGAGTGAAAAGGTTGACTTTAGAAAGCCTTGGTATTTGACCTGCAAAAGAGAGGACAGACACTTTAAAATTTTGCTAATGGCTTAAATAGGAACTAAGCTCAATGCCACTTGGGTGCTGCAGCTTTAGCTCAGCTGCTTTAGCAGGAGGAAGAGAAAAAGGATAAGAGGACAAGAAAATCAAAGTGCTTTCATATCAGGAAACTGGTCACCACCTCACTTGTAGTGACCTCCTCTGGCACTTTCTAAAGTTGGGAGGGACCTCTTTCTCCAGCCCTCACACAGCTAAGGGAACAAGAAGATACCAGCCGTGGGAATAATCCAAGAAAGTTATGAAAAGTCCTTGCATCTTATGTCATCATGGAGCAAGCTTTTCTTTCTTTTTTAAATTGTTGACACTATTACAAATATACCCTATTTCCTCTCTCCCTTTTTCCCTCTCCACCCAGACCCCATACCTCACCCCAAACTTTACCACATTGCTGCCTGTGTTCATAGGCTATGCATATATGTTTTTTGGCTGGCTTTTCTTTGGACTGTGGTGTTACAGAAAGAGCAGTAGTTTCAGCACAGTACTGAAAATGCGGTGACCTCTGAAGGTAAAGCAGTTGAAATATAGGAAAGCATGATGTGTGGTTGTGGACAGCAGGACCAATAAATAGGATTGGTTGGGTCAAGATAGGATAAGGTATATAATAAGACAGCATCACTCAGTGTCAACCAATATGGCTGCTAACCAGCCATGACACTTTGGCTCAAGAAGGAAACTAGTTCAGCCAGGCACCTTGCCAAATGCCTGCCAGGGCTGCATACCCTAGATACAGGCACACATACTCACAGGGTTCTGGGAGCTCTTGGCCCTGGTCATGGAATTTTCCAGCTTATTTGAATGACAAGTTTTCAGGTATAATTGGGGTGGACTTCAGACTACCACGGAGACAGCTGAGTTCCACACACCAAGGTGCTGCCCCACCCGGTGCTGATGATCTGACTGCCCTGCCGCCAGAGGCTCTGCTCTGCTGGACCCAGGACTTTCTTTGTCCTGCTGCCCACTTGGCTCTGGAAATTCTGCCTTGTAAGCCATCGACGGCTCCCCCAGACTACTGTGCTGCCTCCCCTGTGCTGTCTCCCCCATGGCGGGCTGACACTCTGGGATTTGGGTTTGTTACCCCCAATTCTCTTGTGTGATGTTATTATTGTTATTAGGTTAGTATAGATTTGGGTTGAATCTACACTAATAAAACCTGAGTAAATAGCATATTTGTTGCTATGTTGGCTCCCAGTTATTTCTCCGTCCCAAAGTCACCTGTGGAACTAGTGGTCCTACAGGTGGCTGGGCGCTTTCCGTGGTTAAGGCCTGGATCAGACCACCCCAGTGGGAACCATAGCCTGGCTTATAAGACTATATGGAGAAACACATGCTCGCGACAGTGGTTAATTTGGAAATCAAGTCAAAAGCACGGCTTGGGGAATTTCCAGGCTTGTCATTGTCCGAGATCCCAGCTCTTGGTCCAGGGAGGAAAAGTAAAGGGCCGCGCGGCGCGCCGGGGAGGGGGGGGGGGCGCGCACCGGTAAGCGGGCGATTTCAAAAGCCGGTGCAGCCAGACTAGGGAATCCCGCTGAATGAAGCGCCCAGGAGAGAATGAGACGTCTAGGGGGAGAATTGCAAATGAAGAGGAAGGCAGGGAACCTGGGACTGAACGGGCTGCAGAAACACAGGACAAAGCAAAACGCTGCGGTTGTAGGAGCGGTCTGAAGCACTCACCGGTCATGCTGTCAGTCTGGGTGCTGACTGACCGCCCGGCCCCAGCGCTTTCCAGATTTTGCATCTGCCCTGCTTCTTTCATCTCAAGCCTAGTGGTCCCTTCAGCCCAGAAAACCTCTCGCTGCTATACATGATCTAGGTCCCAGATGCTCCACCTCCAGCCTCCTCCCAGGTGCTGCATAGCAAAAGCCAACCGGTCTCAGCCAGATGACCTAAGCAGCCCGACTGTCACTTCCGGGCGCTTTGTGTGACATCATACCAAGGCGGGACACCGTGGTAAGGGCTGGCCCTCCGGTGGGCGACTGGTTGGTAGGATATTCTATGCAGTAAATAATTTAGGGCCAGTTTTTGGCTGTCTTGGTATTTGGCTTTCTTCCTTGGTTTTGCCAAAGTAAGGTTCGGGAAGGATGTCAACTTGAAGTCCCAGCTTGCTACAAGTTGATGAGGCCTGCTCGGACTTGAGTGTGCATCAGAGAAGGAATAGAAATGGAAACCTACCCAATCTGTCATGGTCACGGCCTTTGAAAATCTCTGAAAGGAAAGGGGTAGGAGCCGGGTAGTCCAGGTGGTTGTTAACATCAGAGGTTAAGGGATATTCTGCTTTGTAGATCCTGAAAAAGAATATTCCTACTAAAAAAGACTCCTGGTGGCCAACTGGGCTCAAATTTAATAGCAGAGCCCAGCAGCAATTTCTAAACAATAGCTTCTTGTCCAATGGCATTTCAAGGATATGACTGACTAAACTGCCTCCCTGTACTGTGTTCCTGCCATCTGAGCTAGCACCTAAAAAGGAGTTTCTGGAATTATATTTCGTCCAATAGGACTGAGACAAAGAATGGGAACTGTGCAGCTATAATTCTATTAGTATTTGTACTGACCAATCAGGACTGTGCTTTTTTGGGACACTCAGTTTTCCGGGACTTGAAGTCCTCAATTGCAATCAGGGACCAGGGGGCATCTCTGACTCTGAGAGTGCACTTTCCTTTTTCACCAAAGATGGAAGACTGGGTTTCCCCAGCTGGATGAATTGAGCTGTAACACTATTGAGCTGTGCCGTTCAATAGCATGGTAGTGCTATATTGCAATCGAGCTTTTTGCACTGAATAAGGTTTACTTCTTCACACCTCGAATTGGGGATTCTTGTTGACATTGAACTGGCACCAACAATCATTGGTTGACAGCTTCTTATCAAACACATGAAGACACTAAAAGGTAGAACTGTGATTATGAGAAAGGTAAGGGCAGGAAGAGGTAGCAAGTTCCCCCTAGAATGTCTGAGAAGTACCTGACATTGTAGATTGGTACCCAGTGCATTTTATTTTATAAGTGTCCCAGGCATGACTCAAAATGAAGATCCTCCCTCCCTGTGACTCAGCCCAGTTTCATCACCAACTCATTCTGTCATCACAACGTGAAATACTGACAAATAACAAGACATAAAAACTGCTTTTGGAAAGCAAAAGCTGAAGGTTATTAAAGTACATTATTTTGTAAAGGAAGGAAGTGAGTAATCTTCAGTGTTGAAGGGTCTGGCTCTAGTTCATTAATTTTCACTACTGTATAGTATTTCATTGTAGCTATATACCACAATTTATCCATATTTGAGCTAAGGGACATTTTCACCATCTCCAGCTTTATGCTATTGCAAACAGTGTTGCTATAAACATTTTTGTATCTATTTCCTTATGTTCTTATAAAAGCATTTCTTTAGAGACTAAATTTAGGAGTAGAATTTTTTGTGTTGTTACTATCAATTTACTAGATAATGCTGAAAAGTTTTCCAAAGAGATTAGACCAATTTATTATGTAACTCTATATCCCCACTAATTCTTGGTATAGTCAAGCATTTAATGTTTGCCAATTTGATTGGCATTAAAGAGTATCATTATTTTGATTTTCCCTTATTTTTAAAATTAAGTTTATCGGAGTGACATTGGTTAATAAAATTATATAGGTTTCAAGTGTGCAGTTCTATAATACATCATCTGTATATTGCATTGTGTTTACCACCCACCTGATTTTTACTTTGGTTGAACATCTTGTCACATATTGGTTGGCCATACATGTGTCTTCTCTATGAAATGTCCATTAACCACTTGTCTACATGATTGTTTTTTATTTCTCATTCACTTTTAAGCATTCTTTATATATTCTGGGTATTTATTCTCAGTAGTGTATATATATGATAAATATCTTCTCCCATTTGCCGCTTGTTTTTTCACTTTATATGTCTTTCAGTGTACAATTCTGTATTTTAATGTATCAAACAGCAATAATTTTCTTTAATGGCTTTTATATCTTTGTATCTTTTAAAAAATGTTTCCTACCCAAGGTTACAAAGATATTCTTTTCTATTTTCTCTAAAAGTCATAAGATTGTCCTTTCACATTGCAGTCTTGTGCATGTAGAATGGCTTTTTGTGTATGATGTGAGGTAGAGGTCTGACTCTATTTTCCATTTGGATAATCAACTATCTTAGCACTATTTCCTCATTGATCTTCAATGTCACCTCTGTCATAAATCAAATTTCCCTATACACATGAGTCTGTTTCTGGGCTTTGAATTATGTATTATTGGTTTATTATACCACTCCCTCAAAAAGAAAAACCTTTATTTTCTTCAGAAAAATGTTGGATATTTTTGGCCATTTAATCTTCCATGTAAGTTTAAAAATCATATTGTCACATTCTTCAAAAAATTCCAATGGAATATTGCTTGGAAGTGATTGAATTTTAGATAGCTAGATATCCTATTCCTGAATATGGTATATTGGTGTGAACATGTAGGTTGGATCTTCAAATTGTTTTCTAAAGATTTTATAATTTTTTCCACAAAAATAATATATAATCCTATTTTTATTTTAATCCTATTTTGTTGCTATTGTAAATGACATATTTTAACAATTTTTATTTGCAAGTGTTTGTGGCTAGTATATAGAAATACAAGTGATTTCATATATTTATTTTAAATTGGGCCATCTCCCTAAACTTTCTTATCAATTCTAATACCAATTTACCTTTAGTTTCTTTTGTTTTCTAGATCAAAACTATATCATCTATAAATAATGACAACTTTATTTATATCTTTATATTATTCAAATATTTTATTTCATTTGGTTGTCTTAATTCACTCTAGGGATCACCAGGGTAATATTGCATAGATGAAATGGTAACAGACATCCTTCTTGTTCCTGATTTTAAAGGAAATTATTTTAATGTTAAAGTATGTTTTTTTACTGTAGATTGTTGATAGCTGTCCATTATCAGATTATGAAAATTTCTATTTCTTTTAAAAATATCAAATGTTGAACTTTATTACGTGCTCATTGTAGAGTAAGTGGAGGCAGTCTGGCTCCTGCACCCAGATGCATGGGTAACTGGAGGGAGCAGCTCCTCACAACCTTGAAGGAATCTAATAAAGCAGTGTTCTCACAACCTGGAGCCTGGGTCTCACGGCCTTGAGCCCGGGTGTGATACACTGCTCTGTAACCTTGAATAGGCTTGCATGTGCAGCTCATGCTAGGTTACTTCACTTTCTGGCCTGCAGCCTGCTTTGTTCAGGGCTAGTACTTAAGGGGTAGGAACTTTGGACAAGGCAGGAAGTTGGGGTGCCGACTTGGACATAGGCTGAGGCCTGTGTGATTTCCCCAGACACGGGCTTTTGGCCTGTGTTACTCCCTTGACATGGGCGTGTGGCCTGTGTGACAGCACTGACATGGGCTTGCGGACTGTGTGACTCCCCAGACACGGGTTTGTGGCCAGTGTGACTCTCCCAGATAAAGGCATGTCAAGCATCCCTACAGCTACACACATCTTCTGCTGTCTGCCTGAATCTTGAGTGGACCTGCCCAGCCTAGAGAGGCTGAAACACACTCATGATAGATGCCTTTTATCAGTTTAAGTAAAGTCCTTTCTCTACCAGCTTGAGAGAATTACCATAAATGAATATTGAGTTTTATTAAATGCATTCTCTGCATCTATTATGATGATGATCCTATACTTTTTCTCTCTTAATTAGTTAATGTGGTGAATTATACAAATATATTGCTTAATATTAAGTCAGCTTCTGTTTCTTTGGTAGATCCATATTAGTCATCATGTGCTATTTTTAATTCATTGCTGGATTGAATTTTCTATATTTCATTTAAGATTTTTGACTCCATGAGTGAGCTTAGTGTATAATATATCAAGTTCTTTTTTTGGTTTTGATGTTATAAATAGGCCACCCTCATAAATGAGTTAGGTGGTGTTTCCTAGTTTTCTTTTCTAAGGAAAAATTTGTTTAAGATTGGAATTACTCATTCCTTCAATGTAAACTAAAACTTTCTTGGAAAAGCCATCTGAACCTGGTTCTCTCTAAAGTAGAAAGACACTTTATTACTAATTAAATTCTTTTGTTGGTTAAGGGACTACTTGGACTGTCTATTTCTTCTTAGTCAATTGCCAAGTAACATATTTTTATTGAAATTTGTTAATTTTATGTTTTAAAATTAACTGGGATATATGTGTTTAAAATGCTTTCTCGCTCTTTTAATTTCAAGAACTTTCTAAATTCAAAAATAAGAAACAATTCAAAAAATGCCCAAAAGACATGAATAGTCATATTACAAAAGAAGGTACACAGATGACAATTAAACATATGAAAAAAGGTTCACCATTGTTAGCCATTAAAGAAACGCAAATTAAAACCACAGTGAAATACTGTAACCAAGCAAATCGGGTTTGGCCGTGCAGTGCCTTGATATATGACCCAACAGTTAGTGTTGAAGGAAACAGGTTTTTATTTACAGGATTCCAACCTTGGGGGTGTTGACAGCACTCCTGCTCAGAGCCCTGTTCTCCCATAAAACCCAGCACTTCCCTTGCTCCCCAAAAGGCTACAAGCCAATACCATGTCCAGAAGTTCCCCATATCCTATCTGCTCTTAAGCCAGTCCCACAAACAGGTCTTCATCCCCTCTGGAATGTACATTTATGGGTTTCAGAGTCACCATCCTCTCACAGCAGCTCTTGCCTTTAGTATCTGGGGTACATTGTTCTCAGCCTCCATGTAGTGGTTCAGAGAAATATGTGCCATGTTACACTGGATCATGGAGGGGACCAGGGAGGCCCACATCCCAAGAGAGTGGCTTTTCCATACATCGTTCAGAGAAGCTGAAGTCTGTAGCTCAGCATATCTGGTCACAGTCCAGTTCCA